CCACCACAAGGACCACCACAAGGTCCACCACAAGGTCCACCACAAGGACCACCACAGGGTCCACCAGGTCAAATACCTCCAAGTTCTCAACCAGGGCTTCCACTTTCCGGGATGGGAAGACCAGGGCCTCAACAACAGCCTTCGAAACCAATGCCACCACAGATGGGTGGTCCACAAGGCCAACAACCTGGGTTACCTCAACAACCAGGTTTATCCCAACAACCAGGCTTATCTCAACAACCTGGTTTACCGCCACAACCAGGTCAAGGACCAGGAGGTCCAAAAATGCCACCACAGCCAGGGCAGCCTGGTATGCCACCTCAATCTCAACCTGGTCCAATGCCAGGACAGCCAGGATTACCACCACAGCCTGGTCATCTACAGGGTCAACCAGGATTACCACCTCAACCAGGACAGCAAGGGATGCCACAACCTGGACAGTTTGGACAACCTGGATTACCTCCTCAATCTGGTCCACAAGGTTTAACACTGCAATCTAGACAACCACTACAGCCTGGTCAACCTGGGCTTCCTCCTCAACCAGGGCTTCCGCCTCAATCGGGTCACATGAGCCAACCAGGTCTTCCACCTCAGCCAGGACAACCTGGTTTACCTCCGCAACCTGGTCAAATGCCTGGTCGGCCAGGATTCCCTCAACAACCAGGCCAACCTCAGCCTGGCCAAGGGTTACCACCACAACCCGGGTTAAGTCAGCCAGGGTTACCACCTCAACCGGGGATGGCGTCGTCTTCTCAATACAATCAATTCCAATCTAGTCTGCCACATATGCCGCCGCCGATGACGCAGCAAGGTTACCCTGGAGCTCCGGCGGGTCAACCAGGATTCCAGCAACCGCCGACAACTGGAGGGTATCCAGGTACGTGCTCTATCATGTATGAAAACTTCGATTATGGTAGCAAGAAAAAACCTGTTGACTCGTCTTATGTTGTACACTAGTAAACATTACTTGTTTTCATTATAATTATTACTACAAGGATCGAACACATAGAATAACTTTTTCGATCCGATGGAACTAGAACCCACGTCTTTACGGCTCCGTGGTAATGTTCTTACCAGCTGAGCTACGGGTCAAGTTATCGAGTTGTCGAAATTCTTCTATGTGTTTTTGTTAAAGATGTTTGTACTGGATTTCTCGGCATTCAGTTGAGGCACCTGTAAAGGTGCTGGCTGCGGTGAAGAAGGTTCTAAAATCTATCATTAGATGTCACTAGCAGCGCAGAATGCCGACCAATCCTGTACAAAGATCTTTAACAAAATCATATAGGACTTGTTGCTCAGTTGGTAAGAGCAACACCACGGTGTGGTATGGTCGTGGCTTCAAGTCCCATCGGGTTCGATTTTGTAATAATAATCATAATAAACATTACTGGAGTTATATTACAACAAATCTCAATAATGTTACTAGTTTTCACTAGCGTAACCAATAAAAGTATTTATCTAAGTGTTTATATAGTCTGTAGTAATTTCATATTTTTGCTGTTTTTTTTTATTATTATTTCGACTCATCCATAGAACAAAGACCTCTATGCAAGACTGCTTATTCTCAGGACATTGTACATTTCGTTCGCTGTTCTTAGCTGTGGATATTAGATTTTATATTTCCCAAACGAAATAGTACATAAAATTCTGAAAACACCTATAGCTAGGCCTAATTTTGAATAATGAGATTATGTATTTATCCCCTTTTCGTTGTATAATCACATCCGACTCTATTCTTCGGATGAGTCGATTTTATTACATAATTTAATTTTGTTTTGGAGTGTTCGATCTTTGTATTAATAATTATAACAAACTAGTGGAGTAATTTCACAAAAAACAATTGAATATCCATTCAATACCAATTTAAAATTAAATTGTTTAATATTTGTACCAACAAAGTCAATGTTAGATTTATATTTCCAGGCATGCCGCCTATGCCAAATCAACCAGTCCAAAATCAGCCAATGCCTGGCCAGCAGCGAGGGTACCAGCAGCCTCCCTCGGGTTATCCACAACAGTACCAACCTCCCTTCCCCGCCCAGCAACCCGGCTACCCTGGTGAGCAGTATCAACAGCAGAAGAGATTGGACCCTGATCAAATGCCAAGTCCAGTAAGTGCAATATTTTAAAAAATTAAAAAATTATTATTTCATATATAACAAAATACACATTTAATTTTTACATTGATTAAACATTACTATCATAGTATAATAGCACAAGTAGGGTAACTCCGTACAACCGCAGCAGCGCGGCTTGTATTGGCTTGTAAAATTGAAGTTCTTTTTTGTGCTTTCTGTTTTTTATTCGTGAAAATGTGTTCTAGAGAGAAGATCTCCGTCTAATTTAAAGCCAGAAGCAAAATTTGTCATGTAATAATTAATTATTGCTTACTTTTTCTATTACACATTCTGCTTCATTCTTTAGTCTTTTATTATTCCCTCACATTGTTTGAGAAGAGCACTATATATACCTCGGCGGGAACGGGGATTGCCTAACTCGTATAACTCGTACTCATCTGGCAGTCCTTTACTATATTATTATTGCTTTCATTATTTCTTGAATATGCATTATGTTTTTCCGAGAGTACAAGAAGTATACAAGAACACAAAAAGATTATTTATATTAACTTTTGGTACACCGAGCTCGAGAAATACTTCTATAAACCTTAATTCCAGATCCAAGTTATGGCGGACGACCAGCAAAACCGCGGCGGGGTGTTCGTGACGAACGAGAAAGGCGCAGTTCCTCCTCTGGTGACCACGGACTTCACAGTGGACGACAAGGGCAACGCCAGTCCTCGCTATATACGCAGCTCCATGTACAGCGTGCCCGTCACCGCCGATCTGCTCAAACAGACCGCCATGCCCTTCTGTCTTGTTGTAAGTTTCACTCTTAAACTTCTCTGGAACACTCTAGAGTTATGGCATTGATATGCAACCATCGCATGAAGGGCTTTGCTTCCTTCTTTTTAAGCAAAGCAATGGAATACGCTACTGGCATCTGTGTTTCTGTGTTCAACATTTTTGTGTTATGCAAGGATGGAGTGAATAGTCATTTCTTAACCGACTTCAAAAAAGGAGGTTCTCAATTCGACTGTTGTTTTTTTGTGTGTATGTTACGCGATTACTGCGGAATTTGTGAACTGATTTTGATGAGAATTTTTTTGTTGGAAAGAAAATATTTCATATCTAATGGTCGTATTCTAGAACTCTACTCAATGCTCAAGTCAGGACTTGAGTATTGCAGTGAGCACTGAAAATCATACACAAGTCCTTGCCATTAGGGTCGTATTTCCAGTGCTTGAAATCATACTCAAATCCTGACTTGAGCATTGAGTAGAGTTCTGTAATACGACCCTAAGAGTGGCAAATTATGTGATGAATTCGGTTTCGCGGACTTTCCATTAACCGATGCCAATAAAATTGGCAAATAGATGTAATTCTAACAAAAAAGCCGATAATGTCGGTTTCTTTTAAATAAAAAAGTTATTTGATGTACCCTTGGTGCTTAATTAACTGTATGAATAAATCATCTCATCTGTAGAACAAAGATCTATATAGTGAAATCGCACTAGAGGTACTCTTTAACAAGTTGGCTGCCATGAATGTCTGCCTTGCCTCGACGTATTTTCCGAGTGGCAAAAAGAGTCACTGGTTGTTAACAGCAAAAAAAAAACTACTGTCAACAAGCTACCATTGTACAAGGTACCTTTATTAGTTATCTATTCGGTAATATCTGCTCACTCACAGTTTGATCAGAAATTTTACCGTTTTTTACATAAGTATATACAATATGTTCGACTCATTCGTAGAACAAAGATCTATATGCAAAAGTACTTGTTCTCAGGACATAGTACAATTTCGTTCGTTCTTCGCTGTGGATGGCCGATCGACTGTTGTTCGATTTTATATTTCCGAAACGAAATAAGATATATAAATTCTCAAAACACCTTTACATAGGCCTTAGTTTGAATAACGAAATTATGTATTTATTATCTTTTCGCTATATAATCACGTCGGACTCTGTTCTTCGGATGAGTCGAAATATTTAACTCAAGTGCAGCTTTTTTGCTTGATTATTCTTCTTTGGCTTCGCGGTAACTTCAATTTTTATTAATATGGACTAACGCAAAGTTAAATTCTTATATCACACGGCCGGCAACGTTTGCGATGTAAAGATGAAAGTATGATAACTGTCAAGAATGTTTATTAGTTCTGATTTACAACTTAATTTTAACTGCCTCTGTGGCCAAACGGTTACCGTGTCAGGTGCCACGCAGAGTTCGATTTAATCGCCAGATGGCGCGACAAGGCAAAACATTGGCTCCGTATTTAAAGTTTATATAAATTAATCTAGTCTTACATATTACCATAAAACCAATATTAAATATATACAAATATGCAGTATTTGTGAAGTGATCAGACAACAATACGCAAAGAAATATAAAACTGTGACTAAAATACATTATACGGCCATTTTGATCTTCCATTTTGTAACATTTCAATAATAATTGCATAAAAACAATTGAAATCAAGTTGTAAGTGACTGTTTTTGTATTCTAACTCCGTGATTTAATTGTTTAAATTCAAATCTAAGATCCATAACGAACATTTCTTTAAATAATTTGTAAATAAGTTCACGACTAAAATTGACGATGCTTGCCATCTATTGAGGATCTACATAACTACGCTACGAAATTTTAGTACGGCTAGTTGACGCTAGAGGTCAGTACTCGTACGCGAACAGGCATTTATATCACATATCTATTATTCGAGTGTTATTTTTTACTACATCAAATTTTAATTGTAACAAAGAAAAAAAAAGAACATACCGTCGAATTGAGAACTTCCTCCTTTTTTGAAGACGGTTAAAAATAAATAAAAATGTCAATGGCAAGCGGTAAGCAATATTTAAATGTACTGGCTGCAAACAAAATATTGCTTCAAACGAGTACTTAAAAGACGGTTAAAAATAAATAAAAATGTCAATGGCAAGCGGTAAGCAATATTTAAATGTACTGGCTGCAAACAAAATATTGCTTAAAACGAGTACTTAAAATGCACTCAATGCGGCAAATTATTTGATGTCCATTGTACTCGTGACGTATCGGAAAAAAGGTTCCGTATAATGACCCCGCTAAGGGAGCAAACAATAATGAAATCTTGGAAATGTCATGTATGCAATACTAAATGTGAAAATCAAGCAGCGAAAATTAAGGATGCGAAAAAAATTGATATGATTCAGAAACAAAACATGGGAACTTCTAATTAAAGCACGCCTCTATCGTCACCGACAGGTGACGGATTTAAAGTTTACATCTCCGGCAGCGAACGTGGCCGGCAGTAAGATCTATGAAATAAACGTGCCTACAGAAAACTCCTTTGAGTCATTAATTTCTCACTCTGATGAAGAAAACTCTGAAGTGGACGAAGAGCCTACTTTACTACAAAAAAGTGTTATGAACATAATTTGTCCTTACTTGCAAAGAGTGAAAGTGATACAACAATAGAAATGAAAACTAAACTGGATGAGTTGACAGCAAAACTACAGACATCAAATCGAATGTTCAATGATTTGCTGATAGAAAATGATTCACTAGCTAAACGAATCTCTGAGTACGAAAAAAAGATACGTAAACTTACTATCATTTGTAAAAAGTTCACTAAAAACCCAAGAAAAAAATGACAGAAAAATATAAATATAAATACAATTGACTTGGGCATAACTAAAACTAATCCTACAGAACAGAGCTTAAATTTGTCAGAATTAGAGTCGGAACTAAATCAAGAGACTGAAGCAGAAGTAATTAACCAAACACTTGACACTAAATCTGGAGACACAACCACACCAACTAATCACCAAAATAACGTGTGCATTATTAGCAGCAATAAAACG